TGGTTTTTTCTGACAATGAATTCAACACCATTTCTCTTCAATTTGTCATTCCTGGCATAGTAAACCATGTGGATGTCAGATTCAAAATGGCCAATCCCAGTCCATTTCAGCTCACTAATGCCTAAGATATAGATGTTTATGAGTTCCATTTCATTTTTGACAAGTTGCAATTTTCTGAAATTTATACTTCATACACTCCATGTTCCAATTATTAATGGATGTTTACAGCTGTTTCTCTTCATTTTGAGTTGTGCCCCATCAGCAAATGAAGGTCCCGCAGGCTTTACTCCCTCAGGCTTTACTTCATTCTCTTCTTCATGGTCACTCTGCTTTGAGGAGGCAGCTTTTCCCTAGTCTCATTTTGAGTGTCTTCCAACCTGAGGTGCTCATTTTCCGGCACTATATCTGACAGTGTTTCTCTGCTATTCATAAGGTTTTCAGTGACTAAATGTTCGGAAGTAGTTTGTCTCTCCTTCTTCTTAGTCTGTCTTCATCTGGAAGCTCATCTGAAACCTGTTCACCAAAATATTTATTTATTATTTTAAATACAATCATATAGTCTATGAATAATGAACTTATATATAAATTTATATTTTTCCCTAATACCAATACCACTGATTTCTTTTTCTTAATATAATGCCTAGGACTTCCAGTGTAATACTGAATAGAAGTGGTCACAATGGCATCTTCGTCTTGTCCTTGGTTTCAGGGGAAATCTTTCAACTTGTCACCATTAATATGTCATAGATTTTTTTTTTTTTTTAAATAGATACCTTTATCAGATGAAAAAAGTCTAGCTGGGTTGATCTGTGCTCTCCCTCTTTGGAAGACCTTAAACTCTAATTTTTGTCCTTTTAGCACTTTAGACTGACCTCTCAGAGCCTATGTACACCAAGAGCAGTGGAAAGCATTACCTATTCCACCATTACTGGGTTGTTGTTGTTGTTAAGTGATGTTAAGTCAGTTATAGGGTTTCTGAGGGGTAACTAGTGAGCTTGAACCACTGACCTTGCAATTCAAGCCGACCTTGCAGTTGACTGCTTATCCTATGATGAAACACCAGGACTGCATTACCGGGAGACTGCTATTACATTTTACATGCATTTACCAAACTCCTGATGTGGTGCTGTAGGATAAGCACTGGACTGAAATGTCAGTTTGAACAGCAAGGTCGGCAGTTCAAACTCATCAGCCACTCCTTGGAGACTTTATACAGGGCCACTATAAGTTGGAACAAACTTGATGGTACTTAATGAATGATGACCTTTAATTGAAAGCTCTTTAATGAAGGTGAATCCTTTATCACACTCCCTCACATGTTTAGGAATGATTCTAGACCTTGTGAAGTTTGAAACCCCAAAAAGCTGAAAAGCAAGTTTCTAGTTGTTTTAATGAATGTATTTATGTATTTATATTTTATTTAGTGCTGCTTTCACATTATGAAAATAATTTTGAACAAAAAAAGCACAATAATTTAATGCTTCTAAATGGTTTTCTAAATACAGGTTCAAAAGACCTTTAATGGTACCACTGGTATATTACCTGATACCTTACCGGACCTGCCAGTATCTCTGGTTCTGACGTCCTTAATCGTGGTTGATATTATTGAAAAACTCAGGATATATCCTCTCAGAGGGACTCAAAAAAGTAAGTATTCTTTTAAATATGAATCAAAAGAAAATTTGATAAATCTTTAACCTTTCTGCCACCGCTTGAAGTCTAATGATGTCTTTTCTTAAGGCTAACATTACTGATAAAAGATTGTTGCAAACAAAGATATCAAAATATACTTATTGAAAAAGCTACTTTTATAGCTAGGCATTCTTAGTTCTTATTTATATGTTGATATGTTGGTAAATTAACAAGGTTACCAAGTATTACGTACCAAAAGTTTAAATGTTTACTCTAGGAAGCAAATTATATGAGTAAATAATTATATATATATTTTCCCACAAATGTTGTTAAAAACATAAATTTAGATGAATAAATAGTTTAACTAGGATGACTTTGATACAGAAATTAATCTGACTACTACAGTTATGGCACAGAGCATTTGTATGTTTTTAATTGTGGATTGTAAATCTGCCAACACTAATCACAATAGTAAAACCAAGACACCAAAGGCCTCCAAAGTGACCAATCAAAACTACATACAGGTTGGCCTAAAAAAAGTAATTTGCTCATTGAACATTTTGTTTGTTTAGTCATAAATTTCCTCAACTTGTATTTAATTGCAATGATAGTTGTTATGAAGTGCTGTTGAGTCTATTCTGATTCATAGCAACCTTGTATAAGGTTTCCAGCAGTGACTGGTGGGTTTGAACCTATGAACTTGTGATTAGCTGTTCAGTGCTTATCCTACAACACCACACCAGGACTCCGGAGATGATACTTTCTTGGTTTAATTCACAATGAGTAGATTTTGTAAGAGTCTCTGAATGTTGGAAACATTTAAGTGCTTGGCTCCTAATGGAAAAGTTAGAAATTGAAGGTACTCCCAGGGACACCAAAAGTCCTGGTGATCTATTTCCAACAAATCAGCAATGGAAAACCTAGGGAGCACTGACATACATAGAATCACCATGAGTTTGAATTGTCTTGATGAATACTGATTGGTTAGGTTTTGTACAATCACATCCTGATTGAGCAGACAGAGTAAATTGAATGAGTCATAGGATACTGCTTCAGAGGTGACAGGAATGATGACTTGAATCAGGAAGGAAGAGACCAGCAATTAGTTATGAGTTGTGTGTCACCACCCTACTAGTTAGGCTTGCTCCTCAAATTGAAAAGCAAAACTCAGATAAAGGCCATCCAAAGGGAGATGATGAATTTTTCAGTTTGACTAGCACAGTTGACAAGTAGGTAAGATGGCAGCCTTGGTCCATCTGTTGAGAAAAAGGCACTCCTAAGTTATATCTGCCATCCAGAGGCAAATGTAGTTTTCCTTTTCTGAAACTTTTTCTTGTGAATTAGATGAGGGTTTACAAATCAGTTCACTAGTTTTATATTCAGCAAATCATATACTTTGTTTCATCTCTGTGATTGCAGTACCCTTCATGTAACAACAAGTATCCCACTGCTTTCCTTTGGTTCTTATTTCCATTCCACTCTCCATCCCAACCTTTCTAAACTTTGTCCTTAGGTAAATGTTGCCCTTTTGATCTAGAATGACTGACCATTCCATGGTGAGCATGTTTTTACTAGTGGTGTTGTTCCTCCTATAAACCTATTGACTGCTTGGTTGAAAATTGGGCCATGATGGTGAGTTCTGTTTCAGATCTGAAGGGTGGTGGAGGGCCATAATCTTTTTTCTGTTAAAACAGTCTTTTTTTCTGACCAGTGAAGTGGTAGCTGGACACCAACTGATTGTTCTGGTCCTAGGGTCATGGAGAATGAAGACTGACATTCACATGTTCCATTAGTCCATTGGACTAAATGATTACAAATGTCTTCAATTTTCACTACTCTTCTCTCCATTGTACATAGAGAGACCAATAGTTGTGCCTTAGATGGCCACTCATGTGCTTTTAAGACCACAGTTGCTACTCACCAAAGTAAGATCTAGAACATTGTCTTTGGGGACTATGTTATGGCAATTGATCATGATGTTCCTTGAGACTGGTACTGAGCCTCCAGGCCCAGCCACTCACTGTTCCAGGGTGTTTGGTAATGTCTAAGAAGTACTCAAAGTCCTTGTGTGGTGCTGTAGGATAAGCACTAGATTGGTAGCTGCAAGGTCATCTGTTCAAACTCACCTATTGCTCTTTGAATATACTGTACAGGGTTGCTATGTGTTGGAACCTATTCAAAGGCACTTAATAATAACAACATACTCCACCACATTCAGAGATATGTTTACAGCAAAGGTAAATACCCATATACAAATTACCTCTGTCAAATTTTTATATATTTATGGGTGTACTCCTGCTCTCCCTCCCAATACCTATTTAACCTGTGTATTTGTCCATGTATCTACCCATAGAACACTGTTATTGCAGGGTTGTGTGCATATAACAGTATTTACCTTTATTCCTTTTTACTCTAGCATTTCTCCCTGTGTCTTCAGCTATCTTCATCATTCTTCTGCCAACCTCCCTCTTGTATATTGCCTTCTCTGTTACCCAAGTTACCACGTGTCTACCCTTTAGCCAGTGATTTATTCTCTCTTCCTTCACATCCCTGGTAAACATCAAAGAATGCTTCTTTTAGCATGAAAACCTTTTCTTGAGTTTTTACAATAGTGATATCATACAATATTTATCCTTTTATGATTTACTGATTTCACTTTATCATAATATCCTTCAGGTTCATCCATGTTATGAGGTGTTTAGCAGATTCATCATAGTTCTTCAGTGTTAGGTGGTATTCCGTTGTGTGTATGTACCAAAGTTTGTTTATCCATTCTTCCATTGATAGGCAGTTAGACTGTTTCCATCTTTTTCCTATTGTGAATAGTGCTGTGATGAACATGGGTATGCATATATCTGATATAATTTTTCCATCCTTTGATTTTTAGTCTATTTTTGTCTTTGTGTGTAAGGTGTGTCTCTTGTAGAGAGCATATTGACAGATCCTGTTTCTTATCCTCTCTGCTACTTTCTGTCTTTTGACTGGTGCATTTAATCCATTAACATTCAGTATAATTATTGGTAGGTATAAATTGATTGCTGCCATTTTCCTGTGTGTGTTTTTTATGGTGCTGCTGGTTTCTTTATACCGCATAATTTTCTCTGCTGAGTTCATTTTGTTTGTGCATTTTCTTCATTGCAGTTGTTTTATTGTTTACTAAATCTTTATAGTTTTCCTCTATAAATTTGATGTGAAAGTGTATTGATTTTCATTAAGGCTACCCTGTAATTTATTAATTTATTCTTCTGTTTAAGGCAGTCTGTTTTATCTTGAAATATACTTGATTTTCTTGTCATTTGGAAGTTCTGTAACTGCACTATTCCCTCTTTTGGTTTTGTGGAGGTCTTCATTATAAATTGATCTTTCTGGTTCCCTATTTTCAGTCTTGTAGGTTTGTTTTACTTTGAATACTTCTATATCTAGATTGAGTTCTGGATGGTGTTTTAGGGTGTGTTGATCTCAGATTTTTGGCTACCATTGTTGGTTCTTAGTCCAAAGAGCTCCCAATAGTATTTTTTGTAAAGTTGGTCTGCTTATTATAAATTCCTTTAATTCTTGTTTGTCTAATTTCACTATTGAGGAATCGTGTAGCTGTGTAGATGATTCTTGGTTGGCAAATTTTTCTTTAAGAGTTTTGTATACATCTTCTCTTTGCCTTCTTGGTTGCATGGTTTCTGCTGAGAAATTCAGAGCTTATTCTTACTAGGTATCCTTTGTAGGTAGTTTTTTGTTTTTCCTGTGCTCTCAGGATTCTTTCCTTCTCTTTGATTGTGGAGAGTTTGATTATATGTCTTGGTGGTTTTCTTTTGGGGTCTATCCTGTTTGGG